AGTTACCCTGCTCCTGCTGAGCTTAATTGGAAGCATCCCTGGAAAGTTCTTGCACAAACCACAAAGGTGGATATGGCGAAGAATGACAACAAAGAGGAAGACTTTTTCTCACTTGCAGCTATGCCCAGTTACCATCTTGCCTCAAATTCTTCTGTATTATGAAAATGGTGTCAAAATTTAGATGCAACCCTTACAAACAAAATTAGCTTTTTGATTTAGTACTTGTTAAATAGTGGTCCCTGGGGTAAGTTGTCTGATTCAGTACTTGTTAAAATCTCATTGTACCTTTTAATTTAGTTTAAGGAACAAGTAATAGAGTGATGTCATGCCTGCAGTTGCATTAGGTTGAAGACAAATTTGATTTAAGAATTCTCTAAAACGTCTGTGTGCTTGTGAAGATGCTTTGAACTTCAAACTACTAAATTCTCAGTCAATATGTTTGGTTTGACTTTTCCCTGCAGAAGGGAGGGGATTTTTGATAGGCTTCTTGTTGTGTATCTAAATTTAAGACAGGGCTTTTAGGTAACAAAATTTGTAGTATCCATTTTTTTTTTTTTTTGAGGCTCCTTTGGGTATGTGAGTAAAGTCATTATTTTAAAAATTGAAAAGACCAGCAAAAGATGATTATATGTGGGTTAACTAGTGATTTCAGACTAAAAAGTGATCGAAAATTTAAGTTGGAATTAAATTTTGCTGACTTGAGTTTATAATAAAAATAAAATTAATATTTTAAAAAATAAGGAACGAAAAAATTCATTTGATGAAATACGAGAGACATTTTCAACGATTTTCTCATTTATCAACCAACGGGGTTGATGAAGTTATGGAATAGCCTTAATACATTTCTCTGAAAACTGAAAAGCCCAAAACTATCCAGATTGAACCCCCACAAAATAGACAAGTCTATTTCATTTGTTGAATTCCTGGTCCGTTAGCCGAGCAGGCCTAAGCAGGCTCTGCTAATGCCTATCTTGTTGGGGCCCAAAGTTTGAAGAAATGCATTCTTCAACTCCACAAATGAAAGATTATAGTACTGCTTTGGTATAATCATAGCACAAATCGACATATGTCTATCAAACTTAAATACTGGAATTGCTGTTTAAATGGGCCAAAATGGGAACTTGTTCTTGTGAGTAGTTAGTAGCCATTTTGATGATTGGCAATCAAATTGAGTTCCAGCGCACATTGCACTTTGTGATAGGCTTGGTACGTCAATAACCTCAATGGATTTGGCAGTACACTACCTGGCCCGTTTTTCTATTTGGGACATGGATGAGCTGGAGTTGCCCCCATCCAACACTGAAATGTATACATCAAACTATGAATTTTGACATAACCACTTATGCCATGCCAGCCATAATTTGGTAAATACTAGTTTTGTGGCAATTATCTCTTCTTTTTTTTGGTTGCCCGCCCGGTATCCGAAACTTTGTCCCGACTAATCCGGACCCGACCCGCGTCGCGCACCTGGTTATGGTGGGAGAGTCTCCCAACAGGAGTGTCTGCATACACTAGGACTCGAACACGAGACCTGCTTAAGCGAATCCGAGCCGCTTACCACTCGGACCAACCCCTGTTGGTTGTGGCAATTATCTCTAACAATTCCATAATAGTGAAAAGTTATTGATAATCATTCTACACTCTATCACCTATCCCTTGTTTTTTTTTTTTGAGACGACAACTAGTGTATAACCTATCTATCCTAAACTAGAGGGGAGGGGAGCCTAAAAAGGTTTTGTGTTAGGAGTTAGTAGGTACACAGACCTTACTAGATTAAGGAAGTGCTTTGGCACAACCCTTGAATTTTTTTTTACTACAAGTGAGATTTAAACCCTCACCTACAACCCAAGCAGGATCTTAAGACCCACCTTGGTGCCACTGAGTCGAGCTCAGTGGTTTATCACCTATCCCTTGAACCCTATAAAATAAAGGTATATGCCATTAAAGGTATCCACTCAATATACTGCTTCTCTCATAAATAGTTCGTTCATGCAGGTGCAGGTTTCTTATGAAGGCTTGTTATGAACTGTCTTCTTCCTCACCAGGTTAGTTCGGCAGTACGTTTTTGTGCTTTTACAGTCTAGTGTCCTTCGATGTTTTCATTTTTCAATACATGACAGTTGTGTCCAATAAATCCCTTCACATATGGACAACCTTGTAAAGTTTTTGAGAAGGGAAAAATTTATCTTAGCAATATAAGGGTAAATTCACCAAAAAAGAATCTTATCAGCTGCTTGGGGACTCCAGTATAATCACCGACACAAGCTTAGCATGTAGCCAGGAGGACATCAATTATTGGCAGGAGTTTGGCTTTGAAATGCGATGACTTTCATGGCAAAAAGTCCTGCCCTGCAAATCTTTAATAAGTTGAAAAAGCTTAGTGACTATTCTTTAGGGAACACAAACTTTCAGGGGTGCCAAGGACAGCCACACCCACAAATTATTCGTCACAGTTTTTCAAGGAAGAAAAGGCATCGAACAGATTAATTTGTTCTCTGGCAATGAAGTATTATACCAGATGCTTTTGTGCTTTAAAGTTGGGTTAGTTGCCCTAATGTAATCAGAATGTGGGCTTCTTTACTGACAAAGGCATAAACATAAAGCTAAAGTGGGAACAAAGATTCTTTTGAAATTTGTCAATGTTAGAGTTAAACCATCTGCCCTTTTGATGATTGTCAACCAAAAAGAAAGAACTGCAGTAATAGTTGCTTCTTTTATAAGACGAATGAGATTGTCCACAAAAGAATAGATTACCTTCGCATATATCATCCAATAATCCTAATCTAAATCGTGAACTAATTAATTAGATTATTGGCAGGCGAAGCTAATAAATTGATATATATATATATATAGTCCACGAAATTAAACATGAGCCACATATTATTAGAGGGGAAGAGGGAGGAAGAGGATTCAAACCAATGGATATCAAGTTAATATGTATCAGTGGTTGGTATGTGTAGGACACAATCTTGATATCTATACAGATTACTGGCGCATAAACAAAAGAAACATTTTACATATCTCTAGTGAGTAGTGATATACGAAAGCAAATTCTAGCAGGCTGCAGACCATGCCTGTTGTGGGGGTACTTAAAATCATATGCTTATAAGCTCCACCTTCAAACAGCATTATCCTCCCATTATAGTGCAAAATCATCATTCACCATGCAATAATAACATGGGGAGAAGCACACTATATATAGAACTGATAGCTGGGATGGCAATTTGTATGTCGTCAAAGAAAAGAAATTTATCAAGTCCCAAAGCATCAGCAGTTGAACACATTATGATATATATCGTCTAAGTATCTCTTGTGTGTTGAACACATGCATGATTTTCTAACCAGACCTGTCTGGAACTAGCAGACAAACATTTTAAGTATTGTTGTATGCTGCATTTTCGAGGGAATTATCTCAAATCATAGAGCACTAGGAAAATCAATTATTTAGTGTATCCAAAATCTATAAAAAAAAAAAAAATTTAACATTCTTTATGGAGTACTAGGAATTGTTTACATGCACAAACGTGATCTTCCTTCGGCTAATACATAAACATTCAAATCATCATTGAAAATCATGCCATAACTGAGAGGCCAAATTGGAGAATAACGAGCGCACTAGTCTGTAATCTGTATGGAAATTTGAAACATCGATGCCCCATGTCCAAAGGAATCATGCATGTGAGAGTTGACTGACTGTTCACTAGGCGTTGAAAGTTCAAAACTTCACTAGATAACTATTGCATTGCCCGTCAAATTCAACCCAAAAACGAATACAGTAGTATTCCATGTCCAGTACTGTGTTCCACCATTCCCATTCCATCAAGTAAAGGATGAAGTTTGGTAGGATAGCAGTATTGAACCATTCTTGAGTAACAGATGCCAATGTATGCATATGCTTGTGTGTGACTTAAAATGGTCAGCTGATAAATGACTTGACAATTTAACTAAATGAAGGTGGAGGTGCCACTACATTGGTTGCATGCATGTGGGAAGCAATTAGATTCATCCGTGTAATTAAGAGTCGATTACTTTCTTAATTTGGTTTGCTATAGTGCCTATCACTAAAATAGAATATATTAACACCTTAATTTAGTACTTAAGGAAGGGAACTTGTCCATGGATTGTATAAAAGGAAAATCTTGATGGGAAACAGTTGTCTGCATGCCCAAAAGGTTGACTTGTTGATGACTTGATTCTGTCAGCCACTATACTGCATTGATTTTTGGATTGTCTGAACTTTACTTGGACCACTATCTTGACAATGACTAAAGCAAACAAGCCTCTCCTCTCTCTCTCTCTCTCTCTCTCTCTAGATAGTGAGTGGCGTTGTCGCTTGAGCATGGAGAGCATAAAATAAGATGATGGTTGTTTGGGCCAATTTTTGTAGGGATAATTTCAGAAATCTTTCATGAGATTTCTAACAATTTCAATAAACTCCTCTGAGGTTTGAAAAATTATACATACATACCTCTATCTAAATTCATAATAAAATATTATCAAAAGTATCATATCATAGTGATAAATTTACTATTATAGTCGTTTATTAAATAGTAGGTATGAATATGAAAAATTCGGCTCCTTGTTCTTATAATTACATTAAATAATCTTATAATTCTATAGGAAAGTAAATTATAACTCATTACATAAGGGTATTTTTGGATATTCATTTAAAAATTTGACCAAGTCAATATTATTTTAAAGTTTTGTTATTAAAACTGTCAAATCAAAAAAGGTATCTGTAATTTTTCAAACCTCAAGAGAACTCGGTGAAATTGTTAGAAATCTCATGGAGGTTTCTGAAATTATCCCATTTTTGTAACTTGGTGACCGCATTTTATGGGGCCTTCATATGTGTTGGTGACTGCATTGTTTGGACCAAACACTGGATTACTGTATCTTGGTTACTTTATTTTATTACACTCACTTTCTTCCCAAAAAAATAAAAAAGGAGGGGCCTTCTTCCGTTGGCTTAAAGGACCTTGTGCCTTCTGTTGTATGCAAGTCTATCTATTTATACCGAGCATCTGGCCCCTTCACCACCTCCAACTCCCAAAACACCTACAATCACACACACATACCCACAGAAACTTACCCTCAAACAAAGTCTCTCTTTCACAGACACAGGATTATACAATCAACTTAGCTAAAACTAAAGCCAGAAAAACACATGAAGCACAGAAATTTTTCTTCTTTTCTTCTCTTAATCCTAATGATTCTCCTGCTCGCCTCCTCACAGATAGCTGCTCGTTATCTAGCAAGCCAAGGAGGTAAGTTTTGTCATATTTAGCTCATAGATATATATACTTCTTTCCCTTTTCCCTACACTGGAGATTAATATCTAAATGGGTACCTTCAACAACATGAGGTTCTATACTCTTTGCAGGAGAAGGAAAGCTAATCAATGTTTATGCTGTAGCAGATGAAAGTTCTTTTCTGAACATGGAAACCACAGAATCTATTGAGGTAATATCCTCAACCTTCTACTTGTTTTCCTTCCACTAAAACTCAAATGCCTATTTATCTAACTGATTTTTTTTCTTTATAAATACTTTTTAGAAGTTGATGGGGCTGGAAGAATGTGAAAATGGAGAGAGAGAGTGCTTTAACAGAAGGGTTCTTGCAGAGGCTCACCTGGACTATATCTATACTCAGCATTATAAGGGGCCTTAGAAGTTATAAACAGGCAACAGTTTTTGAATTCAAGAAGTCAATATTGTGCTGTATGTAGAAAAATGTCTTAGGATTCTGTGTCCTTGTTGCAGTCCTCTTCCAGGCGGAGTATGTGAACTCCCACAGATCTTGAAGGTGGGCAAAATGCAAATCAGAGTTTTTGTAACTATTTGAACTCATTAATTTGTAGTAGCTTCTAGTTATTTTACAAATTACAACTACGCAGTATAGATTTTATTACCCTACTGTGGCTGAGCTGATAAATCCTATTAACTATTAAGTTCCATTATTAATTTTTATACCTCTTCATCTATTAAAGCTTGGAGCTGAGAAGTTATGATGATGGCATCTATGTTTAAGACATATTTTAGTATCAGTCATCATTAGTAGACGTTTTACACAGTTTCAATGAAGACAGCTGGGAAGTGGAGCCTGAGGACGCTATATCTCTTTGGCTTTTCTTTTTCCTTTTGCTGGATAATGGACACCATTTGCTAGCATGCGTCATAAGAGGCATCTGCGAATTTCCAAGTACTTCAATTCTGTGGGCGATCAAGAAACGCCAAATACCGGATGCAGATTTAGGAATCGTGCAATATTTATGTAATTGTGGCCTAAATAATTTTAATTTGTGCCCTTAAAAAAAATAATACTTAGTTTTTCATTACAGATTTGGCCACAAGGGACACTTATTAAGATAGATTCGAATAAAACTAACTCGAAAAAGTATTTAAATATGTTCAAATACATTTGATAACAACAAAAGAATATAATATTTTAATTAATTATGTGGCTATGAATTGTCTAGATTTGATAACAAAAGAATATAATATTTTAATTAATTATGTGGCTATGAATTGTCGAGATAAAACGTACTCTAAAACTATTCTAAAAAATAAATAATAAATTATTTACTTATCGTTTAATATAGAAATTTTTTTTTTTTTTTTGTGAAAAGTGTTGAACACAAAATCTCCTGCTTATAATCCCTTCTACCTTGCCAACCAACCTTAACCCTCCCCTCCAATACACAATAAGCTTAAATGTTAGGGTTAGGATTTCAGTACTTGATAATTCAGTAATTTGATGAATTTAAATTTCATATTTTATATTTCAATTTTATCAAATGCACCTTAAATATAATTTAAGTGTTTAATGAGTATTAAGGATACTTGTTAGAAATATCCTTTCTTTGAACCCTTTACAACTTACACCTTGTCTATCCTCCGATATTGTTCAACATTAAATTTATCTTAATGTTTAATTACCAAAACATAAAGAAAAAAAGCTGCACTGGATAAGAGTTGCCGGCTTTTGGGTTGACTTCTGGGATTAGGTTTAATTAGTCAAATTTCGTTTCTCGAAAGAAGGATAATGGTGTGCAAAAATATAGCTAAGACTGATTTCAAAATCCTTTGTGTTATGATTTGACCAACTAGGTGTGATGAATTTGCCCAAATTCGGATTCGGTAGATATCAGGTCAAGTCGAGTCTTGCACAAATTTCATCATTCAAGATGGTATTTATGGAGGACCGGTGATATTTCAATAATGTGTTTGTAAAGAATGTTCCAGCTACCGCACGGAAGAAAACTGCGACAGTCGGCCCCAAAAAAAATACTAATACACCACTGCGTCTGGATAAGCTATCCAAGATTATCTATTTGATCAACATTAACATTTTTTTCAGTATTAGATATCGCTTAACTTAAAGTAGGTTTGAATATGAAAACTCTGTATTTATAAAATCATTGCAAGTAATAAGCATGTGCCCTGTAAAATTGGCTGCAAAATTTCAGTAACTTTTAGTAGAATGTGATGTACTATAGTTCTGTATTCTCAGATAATGGAAATCCGACATTGAAAGACCAATTTTTCGATTACCTTTTTCCAATTCATGTCGTACCTTTATGAATTTCTAGTTTTCTGTTCTTGTTTCAATGCTGAAATTGAAGATAATTGGCAGATTGATGTCCCAACAATGGGCCGGTATGGTTTGTCTTCTTCATTACAAAGAATCAGTTCAAGATCCTGGGACCAAAGTTTACTTTCATTTCTGGTTTGATGGGATGTTTTGCTGATCAAGTACTGCAGTAAACTGTTTTAGAGCAGCAAATTTTGACAACATGTTTCAAGTACGAAGACACATTCACTGACGAGTCTAGTATGCCTAACAAATTAATTAATTGAAGCAATCAACTTAGTAACTTGGGAAAAGAATAGTGGCTGTAGCAACTAAAATCTGTAGAATGATTAGACTCCACCTTTTGGATTGAAATGAGCACGTCTACCTCAGTGTCGTCACCGGGCAAATTTCCTTGCGTGCAAGCAGCAGCATCAGCTTCTTGTTATAAGGTTAGAACAAGAAAATATAACACTTCCCAAAGTCCCAATAATTTTTCTATATATCTGGTTTAGATTTCAGGGCCTCCTAAAGTAGCATAATCTAAGGTACAGCTTCTCCCCATGCAAAGTCTGACTAAAAAAAAAAACTGCAGTTAGGATACAGAAAGGTAGTCATGCAATAGCTACTCAAGTAATGTGTTGGCTAGTAATCCAAGAACAAACATGAAGGAGAACTCCTTCATTTCATTTCATTTCTGCAGTAACTCTCAAGTCTGCTGCTCATAATTAGCTCTTATACACATTGAAAGTTTCAAAATCATTTGCTTCCGTTTCTCTTAGGCGATGGTGTATAGAAATTGACGGACAGGACAGTCTACTGTGCAGCTGTGAGAGTATATACTACTTCCACACTTCAGTTCCCACTCTACTAGTTCATGCAGAAATGAAGCCTATCAGAAGCTAGCAAAATGAATACTCAGCAAGTCTGCAATTCTGCTATATGCTATATATGTCAAATGAAATCAATCTTTTAACAGGATTACTGATTTTGGCCAATACGCGATTTGTACAGATGGTTGACATCTTTGGCTCAGAAACGTGCTTAACTGAACCTTGTTTAGATTTTTCTGTATAAGAGGGCAACTCCTTGTCAAGTAAAGAAATGATCTTACATTTTCAATGTATCAAACTTGAAGAAAGAAATGGTAGAGGTTTTTGTCAACTTCAGTGCACCCTAGCGAAACATGTGTGCCTCTTTAACAAGCAGAAGAAGCACATTCACCATTGTTAGAGGAGCATCAAAATTAGCTTTCCTCAATGTCCTTATCCTTCACAAGTAGATTACTCAGTCATTTTCTTTTATTTTCCAGGATTATACAAAATATAAAGCTGATAAATCGTGGGTACAATAGGAGGTTTATCTGATAGGCAAATCTAGGCAAGGCATTTGATGCAAGTACCACAATCTCATTTGCAGTAATCTAGAAATGCTCCCACCAAACCATCTACAGAAAAGTTGAATTTTGCGACAATATTTGGAAATTTCCACTTTGCATCGTCGTCCAAGTCAAAGCAAACATGTAAATTATGCCAAAGAATCCCTTAAAATCCCATCCATCCTAGTGGCATATCATTCATAAATTATATATGTCATGTTCAATTTAGCTATCGCATTTCATATCCAACATTCACTAATTAATGTAGCGTATAAATCCACTTAATGATTTCTTTTGGTATAATCCTCACGACTTTTTCTTAACTCATCAACCAGACCTCAACTGGAAAAATTTTTTCTGGTCCACCCAGATGGGGTAAAGAAAAACGAACTAGCCTCAATTAATCTTGTAATTGAATTAAATAAATAAAAATTAATTGAGACAAATGCTAGAGTGAGGTATCTCTTATTAATCTCATTAAAACTTTGAATAGGAACATTCGGTTATAAAGCACAGAAGAAAATCGATAATCATTGGCCAAAAACGCAAAGTAATGGGGTGTGGCTCCTCTGAGGAAATAGTACTGAAAGAGGGATCGAACAATATATACTCTCAATTTCGTTTTCAAATTTAAGTAGCCGGGGGGTGTCTGTGACTATTAAGAAAATTGATTGCTCTATACATACTCGGTCCGTAACCATGTGCCTCGGCCCGTATCACATTGCAGAGGATAAAGATTTCCAAACAAAAACATTACCTGAACCAATGCCTAGCGCAAGTATAGAGTATAATAGCGAAGTGCATTACGTACAGAACAGGTCCACACTCCCCAGACCAATCTTCATCAAAAAAATAGTTGTTGCAAGTACCGAAAACAACGTTTTCACAAAGCCATTGTTAGAACAAGATGTAGAAAGTCCGGATTCCACACTCCCACCACTTTAATTTTCTTCTTCTTTTATTACTATTATTATTTTGTATTTGGTGCCTTAAGGATTCATTATAAGCACATAAAAATTGGAAAGTGGATCAATTTATTCGTACTTTGAATTAACCATCCACCTCCTGAATTATAATATTTTCTTAAAAGAAATTTATTCTTTTGCGAAAAAAATGATATCGAGCCCATTTCGCACCAAATAGATGAACCCTTCTTTTATTAACCACCATTGATAATTCCAATCTTGTCCATAATCATATAAATGAACCAAAGGCAAATCAATCTGCAAGAATGATCCATTAGTCCCATCAAACCACTAGGTTCGAATTGATCTTTTTTAGGCTACCAAATTAGCCATTGAAATGATTGAAGTTTGGCTGCTATTTCAATCCAATACGTCAGCTTAGGAGCTGTTTAATAAAATTGAAATCTGAAATCTGAAATCTGAAATTTGAAAACTAATTCATTATTGAAGTCTTAATTCACTGAAATCTATAAAGTCAACTGTGGTCGATAGCCAACTTGCTAGTATTCAAGTGAAATATCTTATTCTATGTGTATTATACAATTGAATAGCAATATTGTGTGTTTATTTATATATGACACTAATTTTTTAAATATCATTTTTTGTTACTAAGAAATTGCATGTTAATGCGAAGAGTGTATTTTTGCATGTTCGTATGAAAGAGAGTGTATTTTTAGAGCGAAAATGTGTGTGTGCAAGAAAAGAAAAACGTATATTTTATGCATTTGATGAAGAAATTATACTTAAAAGTGCATGTTATAAAACAAAATACATGTAAGGGAAAGAGAGAGTGTCTATGTGTATAAATGTGAAAGTGTAACTAAAAGAGATTGTGTGCATATATGTGACACGTGTGTGTCTGTTGGAAGGAGAGAGTGTGGGCAGATGAGAGAGAGAGAGTATGTATATATATGTGAAAGTGTGCATGAATATGTGAGAGAGAGAGATTGTGTGTGCACGTGTATGATCTATGTATGTGTGAAATGTGTGTGTGTCGGTATATATGTGTGTGAGATAATTTTTTTTTAGCGAATATATTATACTACTTCAACAATTCAGCCAATTACATAATATAATTTCTCTTAAAATATGGTATACAAACTAAATGAGTCTTATTTTTTTCCCCTTTTTTATTTAATCATCCTAAGTGAGGTTTATAGTATTAAAATGTAAAAAAATTATATTTATCAAACAAATTTAATAGAAAAAGTATTTAATCTTCAATAGTTTGAACAAGTTTTCTTTCTAATATGTTTGGCGGCAACGTTGTTATATTAAATTTTTTAGGTGAAACTAACAATTTTAGAAGCTATATTTCACATGTTTCTCGACTATTTCCAATTTTTTACTTTTCTAAAAGCTTTTTGTATTGTTAGAATTTTTTTGGGGTCAAAAGTTGGAATTTGTCTATTTCTTGTTTTT